AAGACATGCTCAAGCCATCGAAGTCGGTGTTTCAAAGTAGTGATGGGATTTTATTCATTGGAAAGAAGTGGCAAGCAATTCAGGTGACAGGAACTTGGCCTTTGTCACTGTAACGAAGCACAACAAGGTTATGCAGTCGTGGATTAGGGTTTTATAATTTGATGGCCGAACATCCGATTGTTAAAATGAAAGTAAAGTGAGGATCAGTAGGCGGTATGCAATATTGCGAAGCGACCAAGTGATGGCTATCCACGAGACAGATGCTTTTTAACACAAAATAAACGTGGAAAGATATTTTAAAAGACTTTAAAATATTAATTTTGACGTCCGCTCACCAGCTAATGAAGTAATTTGTTAGCCATATAGTATGTACTGTATAAGGTAAGGTTGACCTAGAATATTACACCTAATGGTAATAATCGTCACAATGATGATAATCAAAAAAGATATGATTAAGTCATAGTCCCCATGTTTCCATTCAGACAGTAGCTTTCGACACCCTCCATTATGAAATCATTCAATATATACACATATACAGTGGTCTGTAAGCAACAATTACTTTTGTGACTAATCACATCAAAATTTGGGAAACACAAAGCAAGCTTCGAAACTTGTAAACGCGTGTATGATTTTGAACCAACAAAATAAGTAGAGAAATCACATAAAATTAACTAGTAGGAGAAATATTTTAAAAATAATAAGAACTCAGTTGCTAGTATGAAGCAATATTCACTGTACAAAAAAGCTGGAGAAGATTACTGGTTGCCCAAACTGAATATGCTAGGGTAGGTGTGAATCTATGATTGACATTCACAGGTGGAATGATTTAATCACTGGGACGCAGAAGATACATTATATCAATTTAAACTGCAATCACTAGTGGACATAATGGAGTTAACCAAACAAAAACAATATAAAGGAAAACTACTCACAGACGATGGGTTATCCAACGATGAGTTCACATGATCCACTGAGTTTGAAATGAAATGTGAATTTTGTGGATTGGGTACAAATTGTTGACAGCTATCTGGATGTTGATCAATATTAGCTGCATTAGATTCTGTTGAATATCCAACTACATTAGAATGGTTGATTCCTTGTGTAATTATAGTGTCTTGTTGATTTCCTGAATAAGATGAATTTTTGTCTACAGACCAATTCCCAATAGTTCCCATATTTGAATGTCTAATATTTGCTTGGATAGTTGAATTGGATTGTGAAGTGGAATAACGCCTATCACCAATCACGTAGTTTTCGTTTTGTGACATGTCACGATAAACAGATTGAGATGGTGTAAACTGGGAATGAGGCGAAAAAAATTGACTTGGACGTGATTGTGTATAACAAACAGAATTTGGGAAATATTGTGAAGCTGAAGGAGGCTGATTTGAAAAATAAGATCCATGGTTTTGCATACGATTTGATGAATTTATACACGAATTAGAATCTTCTGATTTAACACGTGAAATGGAATGTATGGATGGTTGCCTAACTGGATACATTGGGGATGTCATTTGCAGATTAGGAGTATAGTTTGACGAAGGATATGCACTGTGAGGATTAAATAAATGTTGTTGTTCATGGGCAGGCCAACGTTTGCTAACTGGTTGTTGCTAGGATAAATACAACAAAGGAGATTATACATATTATTATACATATACTCCATTAAAAAATCATTTGAAAACAAAAGACTTCCCTAACATGTGTGATTTACACGTCAAGATAAAAGTAGACAGACACTATAAAAACTGTAGTTGGGATGGTGTTTTACCCAAGAAAATTATTAACCTGAAGTTAAGGGTTTAGAATATTAAATCATCCACATTGGGCGTAATATGGACTCGTCAGTTGGTCACATAATTTATTCTTGACGTGGTAAACAGATTAAACACTCATATAATTAATACTAAAATGACCAGAGAACCAATTAGAAAATTTCTAAAACGGGTTCCTCATTAGTGGAGAGAATTTAATTGTGTCTCTTGTCATAACAATTCGTCGAACATGTGGTCCTGATAAGTATGCACGAAGAATTAACTTCCATGTAAAAATATTTACCGGAAATGAATATCCACAAAGATTCGTTAACAATATACTGCATAAATAAAAAAAAAGAATTGATAACCTTTATCAGTGGATCACGACTCCATGCATGGGTTCCGTAAGATGTTGGAACTCAGTGGTTTGAGACTATTAGATACGAGTCAAAATACAAGCTACTACCAATTTTGCTGTAATTTTCTACTACGTTCTTCATAAAAGTGAAATGGACTCATTTAGCTGAAAGGGGTACTTCTTGACTTTACTTTCTAACTAAACTACTTATCATATGTAACAATATTCTTCTTTTTCTATTTATTAATTATATGATACTTCCGTCCTCCTTTTCTTCAAGCATTATCGATAGGATTTGATCTGCATTACGAACGACCTGACATACATGATATTGATCACCACCCAGTGATCGATCAATTGTAAATACATCACAGTTCTACAGGAGGTCAGTCGCGGCCAGAATAGCTCAATGGTAATGCCTCTGACTGTGAAGTTGTGTGACACGGGATCGAACCCATCAGGGGGTATAAGTTCCCTCCAGATTACGGGTACACCTTGCTGACGAGTGCCAAGTAGCACAAAACCCGGCTCCAGGGTTTCCTGTTGACCACCTCCAACCACCATCTCATCACAGCACTATCAGATTATTTGTGAAGCGCATTTTTGATGCCCCAATTGTATCAAACTTTGTATGTGTTACAAACAAAATACAAGAGGATTCTCGTAAATTAAATCAACTTCAACGTTAGTGTTTTCTAATCAGACTATGTTCTGTAAAAAATCAAGCTCTCGAATCCGATTATTTCAATGTCAATCAATCATACGTACGAGTGAACCTGGCGCGTATATGTATTGTTTCAAATTGCCGTATCACATCGCAATGAAAGGCATAGTAGTATTGTAGTGTGGATTACTTATATCCACATAAGTAGTATATGGTGATGGTCAGGTATAGAATGTATTTCACTAGAAGATTGATAAGGAAAGAACCGGAACTGGACACAATCGGTATGAAAATGAATGAACAATGAAATCAGAAATGGACTGATATTTGCAGAAGGAACAGTCAAGATTGAGACAATTGATTGTTATTTTGCAAATCAACTGTTTAATGAATGATTGTCAGATTTTAGTGACAGTCTATAATTTGCATGTCAAATACATTCGATTGTCCCCGCCCGTGTTCTTGTTCACTACAGTATGATTAATAACACTATCAATGATCATAGAAAAGATTAGGTGTAAATGAAATTAGAAAAATAATATACGTTCGCGGCTATCATAATTGAGCAAACCCCGATCAGGCAGTCGGTACGGCGAGACTAAAGAACATGGACGAGCCAATCAGAAGCTTTCGCGGGTTTTCAAGGTCACGGCGCTAAGTTCGGTACCTGACGCTTACGTACGGTCGGTTTACAACGGATTTTAAAGAAAAAATGATAATTAAGCGTCTACAGGATAAGTTATCATAAGATTTTGGCGCAAAATTCAATTATACATTTGGATAGAGTTGTGGCAATACAGCTGATGTCAGTTCGTGATGAAAACCCTAAGTAAAATTCATAACCTTAACTATGAACTGTAAATCATAATTTGAATTATTCACACGGGTTTATAACCCTCATTTAGTCTTAGTTATTACGTTGACACTCTCAGATTCACTCTAGCGTCGCTCAAATGCCGTCCATAATTTATAGTCTCATCTTTAACCCTAAACCGTAACCTTAATCCTAAACCCTAAACCATACCAACATACCGACAACACTGAGACTATGTGGTCGAGGCTGAAAGAATTTTCGGGACTTTATCATGGTTCCAGAGGTCGACTACTATGGGGCCACAAGGATGAGCTCCTCTGCCGTATGCACTATGATTTTATAACTTCTGAACCTATATCTGACCTTGATAAGTTTTTGATTCATGTAAAAGAACAGTATCCCCTTTAATTTTTGAGTTTTGCATAATATATTTTTACTGTATGATAACTCTTCTGATTGGCTAATATTTCTCAAGGTCATTTAAGATTCGTTCAAAGGTCGCCCATGTTCTTTAGTCTCGCCGGCAATGGATTTATAAGTAAGTCATTATTGCCTTTCTAAATAACCGACCGTTGTTCATATAAGTTGATGAGGTGTTCAAAACACTGATATTCCTTATCAAATGGAAATTGACAGAGTAAATATCACTTTATGTACGATATAACCGTACAAAACCCAAAGATATACACAGTGTTTCACAATCAGTTAACATAACAAATTACTTGGAGTCATTTAAATGCGGATGAAACAAAATATCTTTTCTCACTAAAGCACAGATAATCATGATTGAGTGCAGAATCTTTCAAGATAGAAACATTTAACCAGGTATTGTGCTAATAATAACTGGCGATCATTGCTATAAAAAAAATTCACGTACAGTTTATATAGAATAGACGGAATGTGGCTAGCGGTAGAATCCACGATGTGCATTTCGTCCTATTTGGGAATTATAGGTTGGACGTACTAACATCTAAGAGTTGATGTTCACTCCGGGATTCAAATCCAGTACCTTTCGCCTTAAATGCCAAAGTGCTGTTCATTTGGCTACTGAGTCCAGATAGCCACTCACCAAGACTGATCAAAAAGTCAATCAAAATATCAACAACAGGGTGATCCAAACTATTAAAAACTAAATTTACTTACAGTTGTTTGAAAAGTTCTATCACAATTGAGATTGTCGGTATCAGGAAAGTTAACATACTTTGGAGTAAGACAACCGGAATTTTGAATAGATAGTTGATCCGAATGTCGGAGATTATGCGTACATTTATTCTCATTACCACTAAGTGTAGAGTCAGTAACTCGCATTGACATCGAACTGTTTTGTGAATAAGGCATTGAATTTTCAAAAGGATAGGGTTCATGTGCATTAAAAACCATACTGCGGCATGATATAGGAGGATTGTTAGGCATTTGTTCGTAGGAGCCTGTTTATGTATAGAAGAAATTTAAAAATGTTGATAAATTGAAATGATGAACTAAACTAAACCAAACAATTGCATAATATTATTTTATAATGTTGAAATAAACTTCATCCAAGTTATTTTTCAACTATTTTCTATTAAAAGACTAATATATGAATGAAGAATATTATTTTCAATAAATTCTCTTCAGGTCCTACAATTATATATACAAATTAATAATCCGAAAAGTGGCCACGTTTAGGGTAAAGTGTATTGTTTAAAGTTATATGATTTGAACTTAGGATTGTTAATGTTGAGATGACTTATAAGGAATGTTAACTTGAATAAGCTCATATGTTAAGTGAAATTGTGAGCTTCATGATCAAAATAAATGAATCAAATGGGGTGAGAGAAATAATACTACAATTACAGTCGTTTAAATGTCCAGTCGAAGACTATGTGTAAAAAAAATAGTAAGACATAAGAAAGTGGGATGAATGCGAAGTGAATAAATCACGTACTAAGAGGACCAATAATGGTGTTAAACCAATAATAATAGTAACACGAAGATATGTGAAAGAAGATAAGAGACAATTATATTTATTAGGATGGGTGTTTGTGGAGATTGTAATGATTTTAATAGTTGAATTCATGGGTCGATGTAAGCTAAAAGCCTTGACCAGTGGAGTCCAATCCGCGCCGGTCATTTAGTGGCTAACATTACTACTGATTAATTGGCCCTGAGGTTGTCCAGAGCAAGGAAACAAGTTGAAGATATTTGTTTCGTACACATACCTTCAATTTCTTAATCCGGATGTCTACTGCTTCCGTCGTTTGAAGGACTTTGAATCTGACAAGGCTTGGCAAAAAATTACAAACCCGATAAATAATTAAAAAAGCATGGCATATACTGGCACTATGACCAGTTTGAAGTAAGTGGGTCAACATTCAACTACTCACTTTCTTTACTAGACCTTTATTTGACCACATTGGAAGTGTTCGCGAGCACGAAAATGTAAATTCCTAGAACTTTGACCAATATAACTTGCTCCACAAGAGCGGTCGAACTGAGAAATATGAAATCAGGTGGTTATTCTAGGTAATTCATCTTTTAGCCTCGGTGTCAACATTGGGAGCGTAGAAAACAGTCGTAGTTCCCTGGCGTTCAATGATTTTTATATTGTACTGCGTAATCTCTGGATTAAGATTACGCTAGTTGCATCCCGTCTAAATCGTAAGCACATGAAAAAGGTTTTTTTACCGTTTTTATTTCGCCTATTCTAACCTTCATGATCATATATTTGTTTGTAAAAGTTATAGGGTATCCGTTCTTCCCAAGTGTATTACGCAAGGCGTTTAGCTCTTTTTCAACTATATCCGTAGAACATATAGTGTGTATTCAATAACTAAGTTTTGATCAGATTTCTTTTGCAATGTAGAGGTACAAAGCTGAGGAAATGTGTGTACTGTTCTGCCTAGGTATTTTTACGGTTTGAATGACTTCTTACTGATTCATCAGCTCTCATGGTTTCTATTATCCTTTGACAGTGTCAACAAAAGTGTCCAGTAATTTAGCTTAGAGAACACTATGTCACCAAAAGCATTCATAACTGAGCTGAAAATCTTCCTCATGAAATAATATAGCTTTTGACAACTTGATCACTTAGAATAACAGAATAGACTCGAAAATTGTTCAAAAAGTAAGCAAATTTGTAAGAACGGATTGCCGGACAATTCATACAAGGAAAAATGAAGAATAATAAATTGATTTGCAGAAGTCATCGAATATTCGGAATAATCTATAACGTTACTGATTTCAGTACGTAGCCTCTTAAGAATACTACGTTATTCTCATGAAGTTTGTGAGGGTAGGTGCGTGTCAAACGTTTAATCTCTAGATCATATTAGTGGAAAATGATCAGTACGATGACTTAAAAGCATACGGTCTCTGTACATAATTTAAGTACTGAACAATTTATCACTCCGAAATCATATACCCAACCAACTTTTTTGACACATTTCGCAATGCACTACTTTTTTGACATCTACATTTATCATCTGACGTCTACTTTGTTCACGCAACCTAAGGGTACTTCTTGAGGGCATTAAAAACTGACTAGCTATCGATTGTAAGTTTTAAGAATCAATCGGATAAACGGGAAATTGTCACATTTTATTAATACTCAAAACAAACGTTAGTCCCTTGTTTTAATGATTGAAATTTCTGACAAATACGTTAATAATTGAATTGGTTCACTTTTGGAAAACTATACAGACTGCTCAAAACATGAGAAAATAATTGAATACTTACTTAATAAACTCTTCCTGTTTCCAAGTTGGAAACATTAAGTAATACATGACTATTATTTACATCAATTTGTCAGTTTTGCTTAATGTTGGTGATACGATGCTTAAAGATATGGTCTAAGAGTCAGGTCTTAATTGATAAGAGAATTAGTGATCTACAAGCTGATTTCCTTCAATCGTCAGCTTGATATTTTATCATGTTCATATTATGTATGTATGCATGTTATTTTAGTGTATGGAAAACGCATTCACCTGGTTAAGTGATATTGTCTGTGGTTCCTAACCATTCAGTGGTTTAGTATAATAATACAGTCTTGTGCGTGTCTATCACTCGATTGCATAATATTATTGAGTTGGTCTATCGATTAGCATTCTATTCACTGATTGAAACTTTAATCTGATCAATCACCGAAAACCTCCTCGTAACAGTTGGCCTCCATCTTAATTATAGTTTTTAACTTGTTTCGTAATTTTCCAAGAAAGAACTGATGTAAAGCAGCGTACTCTACTCTTCATTTCAGATATCCTCTTTTATTTCTCTAAATACTAAAGAAATGCCTTTGAAATTAAATTCTATCCGATATTAACATAAACTTATATCACACCCAAATTTTATAGGTTACATTTGTTAACGAATTGCTCCCTGCCATAAACATCCTTATAATCCATTTTAACACTGATTCTCTCCTCGTTTTTCTGCAGTTTCTTGTATTAAGTGCCTATTTTAATGTCTTAAAAAAAAGTCATTAACTCTCTATTCAGTAATCCTCACCAATCAAACAAAACTCTTCAATTGCTAAAACGAAACTGTTAATGATTGAATATTGAAGCCCAAATGTGGAACAAATAGACTGATACTGGCTAAACAGTTCACAGAGTGAAGTGGAACGAAGGTGGAGCTGATCTATTGGTCAATTGAAAACGTCACGCAGTTAGTATGGTTATTTGAAATAAAAAGAAAAATGCAATTAAGATGTGCTTTCACATAGTTGAAAAGTTTTCAGATAGTATACATATGGAAAAACAGATGACCTTGTCGACTATTGTTACTCCTTGGTCTGCAGTTTCATTTCGTTTCTACTCTGTTAGCGGAGATAAACCAATATATTATTCTGGTATTATTACAATGAGAAAAGTTTATTGCATTACAGAACCGAGAATTGAACTACACTGAGACAAGTAATATATGACAGATATTGACACAAGCATGATCCTAATACCATAAATTTTCTTTTTTCGCTACACACTGAATTTAACAAAACTTCATCTGTGTTCCATGCTACATAGAAGCAAAACGCTGAAAAAATCCATGACCAAAACAGATGTAGTTGTAATGCCGATAGTTAATTAAACTTAATATCATGTAAGTGTTCATGTAATATTCAACAATAAACTGAAATAATTACCGATAACTTATTAAATGAATAAAAATGTAGTTTTGTTATTCTTTACTGATAATTAGAAATGGATATCTAGAAACATTTTAAGCAGTTGACATACCTGTACGATACTTAGTATTTGGCTGCCAGTAAGCCTGCTCCTGAGGGTTAGGTGGGTAGTTCTTGAACGGTGTTAACCGTACATCAGTTTCATTAGGTTTATAGTTTTGATATTTTGACTGGACGTATGAGGAATGATAAGTTGGTTCTGAATGTAAGGATGATGGATTAAATGAATACTGACACATCTGTTGAACGTCACTTTGCTGATAACTGAACATTACCTGATTAGACGTTAAATCATTAGACACATAAGAATTATGACTTGAGTAAAATGGAACAGAACTTTGCTGATTCACTGACTGATCATCTGAAGATTTATACATAGAAATCTGGTTGGAAGCACTATGATCATGTGAATATTGTAGACGGGGATTTTCAAAATTACAAGTAGGAGGTTGGGAATTTCGCACAAAGTTAGTACCTAAAATGAGGAAGATGACTTATTAAACTTTAGAATTTTAAGAACTATTGGATAAACTGTGTAATGAATTATTGGACACGGAAACTTCACCTAGGGGAGTTGGAAAACCCTGATTACAAACCAATGGTGTACATGGGCTCTAGTATCCTGAGGGGACAAATTAAGTATGAATCAATCGTTGATCACCGAATACCGTGGGGCTGCATCTCGTCACGATGCTCCACTGCCTTGTGGGTCAGATCTTTAGAGCAAACACTCCGGGTGTGGCCCCCTAAGAAAACCACCTGCCTCGGTCTGGGCACCTGGGCAGTATTACAGCCCTCACACAAATCAAATGAGGTTTGTGAGGCGCATATATATCTGGTGCCCCTTTGTACCAATATTTATGTGCTTGAATAACTAAATAAATAATACTACTATCACCCACTACCTCGGAAATACCATTCTCAATAGTGAATGCGATTATTTAAAACAGTAATATGTACAGGATAAAAAAATAGTGACACTCATAAACCGGTTCTACTTTAAAAGTAGCACTTATGTGACGTTTCAGGAAGCTACCAACTCTTTAAGTTCTCATTTACAGTATGTACATCGCTACCGATAACCGAAAAAAAAAAACAATATTACAGTAAGACATGAAGTTTTCCTGAAAAGTACCAACTGTTACTTTTAAAAAATCCTGTAGAAACAGTTATTTCTATTTGGCTTGTATAGGAAAGATGTGACATTTCTCAGAGAAAACAATACGGCTTGATTTCAAAAAGTATAAATATACGTGGTTCCTTACTTTCACAGATGAGCGTAGAAAATAGTAATGGTCAGTCCACCTACGCTCTACGTCGTTTAAGGTTTTAACAGCCCACATTTCAAGTCAAGAAACAGATCGAGGGATAAAATAGACTGACAGCGTGAACCGCAATATTATGACAAGTTGTGTTGGAAGATGGTACCTAGCAAGTGACTTCAATATCACTTATGTAACAGATGCATTAAGGGTACAAATCGCACAGGTTACAAACCTCGTTCCGTTGTAGTGGTGACATGTTCTAAATTACCATATTTTATTTCTTAAAGCCGTACACTATCCCAACCTCCATCGCACTGGTTATCTAATTGATTTATTTGACTTTAAATAGCACAGTCCTCCTTTCAAAGGATCGATAATTTCCTACCCACTCAAAAAATATTTATCTCCTGATATTTTCTCTTAAATTTGCACTTTATTCCCTTGTATTCCACAATAATAACTCCGCCTGGAGCCCCTCTGGAGTTACTGCCAGAGAACACATTACGCCGAGAAATGGAAACAGATATGAGAAGAATGAACAACTGCATAGAACTAGAAAGGAAGGCCCAGGACAGAGTGGGTTGGAAAATGCTGGTCGGTGGTCTATGCTCCATTGGGGGCAACAAGCGTCAGCAAGTAAGTAATTCCACAATGATTTTTTTCGAAACATCAGTTGATATTACACGGCCTAACATTTGACATATATTTCTCTTATACGTTGATTATATAAACGCATTCAGTGAAGTGGTTAATGAAGGCATTGATTAATTTAAAGAGTTTTCATCATAGATCAGTATCAACTGTAAAGAGGAGAATTAAGAGCTAAAAATGATATAAACATTTATTATGCCCTATATATCCAACACGAATACTTATGCCATTATTTTAGTGCTACGATGACAACTGTTTGGACAGTACATTTTATGTTCCAGTTGTTATCTTCTACAAAAGTGTTTTGAAATCCAAAGCATTGGGTGAGCGTGCTGTCAATATTATGCTTATATTCTTTTAAGATGATTTTAATTATTCTCCCCCGAATGTTCTGCACTTCTCTCCACTGAGAAGTATGGGAATTTTAGGTCATAAATCATGAAGTTAATCAAACATAATTTCCCCGACAGACAACTATATCTTATCATCACTAAATTCAAACACGAGGAACGATCATGTCAAACTTAGAGCTCATTAATACCAACCTAGTGACGAATGCAGATTGATTAGTGCTACTAATTATTGGTGTAAAATGTTATATTTAAGAGACATCTGATTTTCCAGAAATGAAATTAACTAATTCACTAGGTGGTTAGGTATAAGCCACACTCTGAGTGTGAGGCTAATAGCATTACCCGGTTTACCAGACCGAAGTGGAGCAGGTTTAAACTTAGTGGCTGGAAGTCGAGTGTCATAACCACTTGGCCACCCCATTATAATGATTATGCAGTGTTGTATTTATATTTGCAGAAATGAAATAAATAATGCTCTTTTGTTAAGTACAAGTTATGCATTCAGCTTTGAGTTACATGGCTTGCGTGGGAGCTAGTGATACTACTAGACTAAGTAAATGAAAGAATGAGAAAGAGGATTCGAACACATTGTCGACTGAGACTCAAATGTATTGACTATCACGCGATCGCAAATATCCGCACATGAATAATCACGAGAAGCGGATTGCTGACAGGTTTCTTTTGACTGATTCAGATATGAAATATTCAACTATAAACTCTAGGAATCAGTCGTACAGTTAGTAGCGCATGAGAAAGACTGGTATGTTGATGTAGTTCTGAGAGGTATACAGTCTGATCTAACCGAATGTGAGTTCATGTGAAGTAATGGGTATTGCTCGGATAACGTGATGACCAGCTATCTGAAACGTAGTAGAGTTTAGACACAAGAACTAGTTTATTGTATAATGGTCAAACTGTTGAATCGCAAAGGTTTAAACTTAAAATCTATATAATTATTGATTATACTATAATTTAGTGTTTTAGTTTTATTTGTAATAAAACGTTATTACTATTCCCAAGTAAATCTTCAATAGTTGTTTGTCGTTTGCTATCTTATATTACTTTTTCTTATTCTGAATATTTTTATGTTACTTTGTGTGGTTCGGTTTAAATAGTAGTACCATTTAATAAGAGCAATTGTTATCGAACAAATAATCCTGTCTTTTTTAAGGTAATAAAATAGGATGAATAATAAATCCGCTAATTTATCCAAAAGATGTGCCATGTACGCGTTAGTATTTTTTGTGATAATGACAGCCACCGACTAAGCTAGAACTCACCAATGAGTTATCATCATCGATTACCTGCGGTATGTTTGAAATGATATTTTCATGCAGTTCTGTACTGTCCTATAATCTCAGTGACATTACTCGCAAAACTTTTCAATCATAGAAACCTCTGTAACTTACAGGAAGACATATTTTGTAGTAAGTTTGGATTCTAGCCACTAAATGGGAATTGAAAAAAATACTGACAGTATACTAGACCATATAAGAAATATATATGAGATATATAAAAAACGAATAACGTACTGTAAGGATAAGATGAATGACCGTGCAGAAGTTGACTGGTATTGTTTATACGAGCATTCTTATTTGACTTCAAAGGTAACGTTTGATATGATCCGACGACTGACGACATTTGAGGAGTGACTGGCATGCCATCAACGGTAATGGATGCACAGTGGAGAGTATTGGGACAACTGCCAGACAGTTGGTCACGAGAATCATGATCAGAGAATTGTTCACTGATAATTTGTTCTGTAACCTGTTTATCAAAAATACTAGGAGTTGAGTGATTTGTTCCAGAAGGCTGATTAGATGGATATGAAGATGAAGATGGAGAAGAGACTTTCAAAGGAGTTGCAGCTTCTTGCTGACCCCATGTGGAAGCATTATTAGGACCAACACTGCAACTGCTGCTACTGCTCCAACATTCATGTCCAGAGTCAGTGCTTGGTAGTGACGATGTGTTTGTTAGCTTACATCCAGTTATTCCAGTGGGAGATTTCGATTCAGAAATAGCTTCTTTGACAGTGACTAAAACAACCTCTGAAGAATCAAGACCCTTAGGTGTAGAAGATGTCAGCATGGGCATGTCACGTTCGAGGATCTCCTGTAAGTCGGATAAGAATGCATCAGTCTCTGAGAGCATATTGCTAGTATGTACAATGTTAATTGACATATTTTCTCCAGGTACAGAACTTTTCACGTTATTGGATAGAACTTTGGAATTCAAAGGAGACATCTGAGAGGTATTGACAGTTATAGTAGACAATGTGGATGTCTCAGCTCTAACTTCGTCATCTTTATTTGGTTCAATTGGTTCACACAGAATCTGGTCCAAAACTATATTCGGAGCATTTGACGAATCTAAAATCTGCTCGACTACATCAGGTTCAATCATACGATTAGTAGATAGATTATTCGGACTAAAAGACAGTGATTTTACATTAGAATAGACATTATTTTGTGAGATTTCCTGCTGTTCCTGCAAAGACACGCTATTCACAATTTCACATGATAACTGAATATCACTGTCCAATGTGTTTGGATCACGTTGGTAATAATGAACTGACTGGTTTGACACGGGAAGAGAATATAGAGACTGGATATGAACATCGCCCGATGGGTTAATCGAACGGGTTTTGTTCACAGATAAACATCGTTCATTATGGAACAACGGCATATTACTATTGGATGTATTTTCAAAGGGTCTATTGATTTGGTTTGACATACGGATAAATGAATGAGGTTTCTGCTCGAAGCTTTTAGAGACTGGGTGGTTGAATAACATACTATCAGTGTCTTCCGAGACACAACAATCCCCAGATGCATGTGGAAATCCTGACGTCGGAAAAGAATATACATCACTCCCACGGCAGCCAGGATCGTGGTACGAGTTGTCACTAGCATAAGAAGGATCCAAAGGCACATAATTATTCATCTGAGGATTGCAACATTTCCGTTTTAATGGTTGATTGTCGGATAATTTTGTTACATTGAGTGTGAGACCTTCCTGTTTGCCATACATCATTACAGGTTGGACAGAATTATAAGGCTCATGATTAAGCCGATTTTGGTCCAAGATTTTGTACAGTGATAGCTTTTTATCTAAAAAGGAAAACATATGTAAGCACAAAGACGAATAAGATGCACGTAGTCTACAAAAATCGAAGACACCTCAAAATACATTATTTTTGATGAAAAAGGAGAAGTATACTTAATGAGGCTATACTACTGAACGATTCAAGATTTCATCACAGAAATATAGAGATGTACTCTGGACTCACATACCTCTGAAAAAAGTGATGATTAAATGGTGTGTCAGAAAATAATAAGATTACTAAATACTTTCTCGAGAGCACACAATGCTCTACAAAAGTTGGACGAGTATTTCAACTGAAACATTTGTTTTATTTTTTAGAGCGGATCATCAATTTAATTCCGTGTCAAAATACGAAATTTTATTTGATATAATAAATTGGAGAAAAAACAAGAGCACTGAGAAGAATCACAGCAAATGATGGTTAGAAAATCCACGAGAAACACACAGGTAGTTAACTTAGCATTGACTAAACAGCATAACTCGGGGTAACAAGATACCCGCAGAAGACCGAGCAGACAGTAAGTGATCGACTAGCTGTAACTGAAGTATGTCAGAGATTGAAGACATGGTAACAGGTAGTTTCTTTATAGTTGTCTTCGAGGTATAATTTTATTCAGCTACAATTACCAAGGTAAGATGACAGATTTAAATTTCTAGACACTTCAGGATGATATACACATAGAAAAACTAGTAACAACAAAAATGTGGAACTACAACTCAGCTCTTAAGGTAATCAGCTTTACATGATTGGGAAGTAAATCTAAAACTCACTCCATTTATTTCAATTTTGTAGACGGCTCAAAACCCTATAACACTAACCTGCGAGAAGGAATTAAGTTGGTTGAAACTAAACTAATACAGTGGTTGGTTAGTAGTTGAATCACTCAACTCTGAAACACTATGTTCCATGTTCGAACCTCACATTACATACTTGAGTCAAGTCACCCTAAAGAACAATGTGGCTTAAAAACGTGAACATAGATTGACCAAATAGGTTTCATTAAGTTACAAACGTTTATGTACATTGTTTCACTTTAGGTTGGAAATTTTAGTAACTCTCTTTGCCTCAACATGCCATGTTAATTCATAGGACTATAATAAATAAAAGCTACGATTCAAGGCTCAATACAAAATTATAGGCATAGTTGATGAGCCATGTCATACAGTTGTATTGCGTCAGGTAGCAATAAAAGCAACCAAAAACGTATCAACAAGGTACATATCCAAGTATGTAATATTTTAAAGACACTCATCTGACTTAAAATCTGTAGTGAATAGTCACCCACTCCAAATGCATGTACTCTTTAGGGTAAACTAAATCCCAGGATTATGAGCTTGAAACAATTAAAGTCGGTAGAATCTACATAAACAGTTTTCAGACAGTCACGTTGTGTTGAATGATTAGGTTTTTAGGTTACTGGCCGTATGATAAAGTAATCTTAATTCAATAAGTGTGAGTGATGTGGGAAAGCGTAGTTACCTGACTAAAGTTCACCGATGTCACCACTGTCCCAGATACATTCATGGTTTATCTCCGAAACACTTGAAATCATGTCTCAAACCTCTCGAATTGTTTTTACCAAATTTATTTATATTTTAGTAGGCTAACAGTCTAAAATTGCATGAACTATACAGATTTTTCGTAGAGCCCTGAAAATGAAGCTTAATAGGTATTTAGTGAAGTAACGTAGGTAATGTGATGGTGAGACTATAATTAACAGACGACCTTTGAGGAACGCTAAAGTGGACTCGAAACAACTCACCTACTTACCTATGTCAAGAATTATAAATCAATTTGAAGAATTAGGACGAAGATTCTGAGTCGAAATTTAAGGTTATAAATTTAAGTAAAGGTTTTCATCACGAACGGATATCAGATATGATCTCAAAGCGCTATTTAGCCATATGAATGGACGAACGCGCCCGAATTCACGACTTGCTATCCTTAATTTCATTGGTTCGTCCATACATTTTAGTCTCACAATCAGAATCAGATGTACAATTTCTTAAGTATGAAGGTGTGACTTAGTGAAGCATATCCCCTAGGACTAGTTTTGTTAGTGTTAAAGTTATATCAACTTATTATCGTTCCTAGGTATGCCAACATAGAAGTCAGAACAAATTATTTTTACTGAAGGTTAAGTGGATTACAGTTACTACCCTTTACAACTGTACATAAATACAACATTCGATTTAGGGATGGGGTTTTACTGTGATTCATAGAAATTCTTAAATGAATTTCATCAAAATACCACAACGTAATCGTAGACTGATACCCTAGTAATAACATACGCACCATGGAACTAACTCGTGTTGAATTTTGACAAACAGATATTAAGTATTCAGACAAACAGCACGTCACCATATTGCTAGATATAACATAGTGAGCTCTACGCTGTATATGACTTGCTGACATGAGTCAGTACTTACAGACGAAACCTAATAACATTAAGGATCATAACCAAGAATATGTGAATGTAGTTGGAGACAAGCATATATGTCTGACTTACCACTGTGAAACTCGGTAATATGGCGTTTGAGGTGCATACGACGTAGCCCACAAAATGAGCATCCTTCAAGTGGACATTTGAATCTTTTTATATCCCGATGTGAATCCTTTATGTGGTTTGATAGATATTTAACAGAATGGAATGTTTGATCACAACCTGGAATATCACATCGATAAGATTTAGAGACATCATTAGGGACTGAAAGTAAGCATTATGAAACGGCAACTTACTCATTACTGTCCCAAAATTACCAACATGATCGCTTTCATAATGCTTGTTCGCCATTCTAGAGTCATAATTTGATGACATTTGACGTGAAATAATATGAGGTTCTAAAAGATCAAACACTTCACTTAAAATTTACCTAGGTTTGGAGCTGGAAAACCAGTGGATTGCTCAACATTTGAGAAGATTGGGAAGTCTTTGGAATCAGTTGTACCAGACATGGTACAATAGGTATTCGGTTCAGCTTTCGTGCATGGGATCCAAACGCGGGAGTTAATAAAACCCGACTCTAAGTCATCAGAAGCGACTGAATCACACGGGGCGGAACAGATCTCAGGAAAAATGGACGCGTTGTTTGTTGAGAGTGATTCATGATCACGATGAGTTGCTTCCATGTGTTTGATAACGTTACGATGGTACTGGCTTGAATACACACAGTGGTTGCACTTATATCGCTTTGAAGTGAACGCTCCTGATGTATGCTTACGCATATGATTCCTTAGAGAAGCAACATGACGATATTGCTTACCACAAAGACTGCAATGGTGAGCAGCAGAAGGAGAGGAAGGGCCTGACCCCTTCGAAAGGCCAGGTCGACGACAAACAGGACTGGAATTCGGAGACATTTTTTCCGTTTCTTTTAAGAGTTGAGGATCAACTTCAGACGTTTCGCGATGATTCAAAGAATCCACAGGAGGCATGATTGTAGGAGTTGAAAACATGACTGAGGCCTCTGTGAGTGGAGCGAAGGAAGCAACCTCAAGATTAGGGAAATTAGAGCGTAAGGTTAGGAAATCATGAGTTTTATTAGAAGACTGGAATAGTCCAAATGAGTTTAAAGGCCCTGTATCTCTAAAACGGCAGTGGGTAGCCGTACTTATAGGTGAATGTTCAGGTACTTCCTGAGTTGCCAAACGTCGCTTAATAAATGGATCTGTAGGGGTCGAACTTCTGGAGTATTCGAGAGCATTGTGTTCGTCAACAACTTTTGCAACCGACTCGCAAGACTGATAAGAAGCTGGTTTGTCGCATTTTATGGTGCCAAAAACGTCACGTTCATTATACATCACTTTGAGCGTACTTTGAGATGAATTGAGGACACTGGAAGTTATGCTGGGTTTATACTTTGGTGGTTCAGATATTGTCACACTCATTTCAGAAGGGCGAAAAGTTACCTCCCAGGGTTCATAACATTCCAAATCAACACAAGAACCTCTGTCTGCCTAAAAGCGACCTTATATAAACTCTCAGCTAACTTACTTCGAGTTGATTGAAGGAATCAGTAGCACAATGCTCTTTCCTGTTAAGGTCTTCACATGGATCTGAGAACAACTCCTTTAATTCCTGCATACCATTATCTTTAAAACAATTAAGTAAGTAAAATTATTACCATTATGTTCATCGAGTCCCAACAAAATAGGGTCGACCGTTGGTTTATCCATTAGAAGCCAATCAATTTGAGATGTTGGAAGAAACTTGTTCATCACAAGTCCATTGGAGAAATGTAATCGGATGAAAAAATACGAATACAAAACAAATCAACGCCACAACCTTGGGGATTTCAAAACCCCAGACGGGATTTCTTCTAACGAAGTACCTAAACAATGCATTAAAACACCTTTTACACGGAGTCAGTCTAGTAGTTCAGCTGACTTTAAACCACATAAATCTATCTCAAATTGTTAGAGGAATTATCGGCTTTTGCCACTAAAGTAAAGGTTTCTTTAGGGCCAAGACAACTGTTAAGCAACTGGAAAAACACTACTGTATACAGGGTTTTATTGACAGCTACCCCCACTAACCTTAAAACTTATCTGTCTATAAGTTTTCGATGCCTTAATTGCTTAGTAGATCGTATCCATGATCCCTTAAGCATATCTTAAAGTCTTTAACGGTTGCAAATTCCTGGCTTTTGTCGGTATGCCTCGAGACATTAGGGATTTCCCTCACACTCCTCTCTACGATAATGCCTTTGCAAATTTCTGAGTTTGCTCTTTCGTTGAAGCGAAGTGATGTTATGGCTTGGCTTTCACAAAATGTGATCAGTACAGCTAACAGGGTTATTAGTACAAACTCTGTCGATAAACTGATAGATGGACTTCAGCTCAGCTTGGATGAATTAGAGGATAATTCGTTCCTTCGGGTCTGTGTCTAGGTAGTTGGAGTGTGTTCTTCGTTACAAGGAAGTATGATTTGCAAGCCATTCTCTTTATAAACTGCATAGTTAAGGAGTTTATTCGATAGTAGGGGTGATTTGGGAGTAACTGTTGGAGTAACTTTTAGACGAGCTGAATATTATATATTTTTTGGCATGAGTACATTTTTAATTGCTCATCTTTTAATAATTTTCAAGAGAGCAGTATCCTTTTTAAGGCATAACGCATGAGCCTTTTTCTTGGTGAGATCTTACGATAACACTAAGAACAGCTTGAATTATTCTGGAGTCAGGTTATCACCATCAACTTTGGTGATGTATGTCGAATGATTATGGGCCTACTCGAGCCAGACGGGAACGGTGTAACGAACAAGCTAACTTCGAAGTCACACATCACGGTCAGCATCTAATGTGGATTACCACACTCAACGTATTAAAGTACTATGTTTGCTTTGAAGACTGTATAACACAAAGAGCATGATTACGTAAATATATTAGTAAGAATGAGTACAGAGATTTTAATGAGACCACCACTGCATGAGCCAGTCCATGCAGTATGATTAATTGATGCGCATATTGTTGTCCTTGATTTTAACAGGGATCGATGATCTGTTCGATATTCAGTTACCCAACTCCCAGATGATTTGGCTAGTATTTAGAGACATTTCACTGCCGCTACAACCTGCCTTAGAAAGAACCTTTGACAGTAATTTTGCTTTATTGACTGAAGAACGCCAGTGGAAAGAGACACTCAGGTGACACGGGAATTTATCTCGAAGAACGAGGTGGATATAGTGTCTCTGCTGTTCCTTACTAGCATTCTACACCTCTGGTATTGAGCTGGAAGTGGTTTTCGACTTGTATTCTATGTGAATCTCCCTGGGGAGTGAAAATGTAATCTGGGCCAATTACTTCCCTCTAGATTTTAATATCATCTGCTTAGAGGAGAGTCCGAGAGTCACAACGACAAAAAGGGGCAGTCCCAGATTTTAGTCTTGTGTCACATTACTTTAACAGAAAACCAGTATAACAGATCGGTACACTAACAGCTTTTAATCTCTCGTCTAGACAATTTGAGAGTCACATCATCAGACACTCGTTTACTGTGCTGGAATTCCATAGCCAGTATATTGATGACCCTATTATAGGAATTGCGAACCGTTAGGTATTCCCAATCAAGAATATTCAACCTACTGTGAACTTTCTTCGTCATAGGGTATTATAGAAACATGTAGTTGTTTTGCACAATTTTTTCTAGCCGACACTGATGAGTAGTCCCATCTCATTTAAATCAGTGAATATGTAGGTTACGTAATACCTTGTAAAATGAGCAGTCACCTGGGTCATGGGAAAGACACCAGTTATTCCAGGCGATGCGCCTATTTCTGATGCATCTGAGAATATTGTATTCTGGTCAGAAGAACAATCTAAGGGATTTGGTATATGACCGACGAGGGTGAGAGTCTATCAGCGGACTGGATGAAAGTATTCTCAAGAAGATTCTATCATAAGTTCAAGTAGAAAAGGTTGTACTTGCCCCGCTAGGATATCCTTTCAAGGTTCGCTTTAACAAAGCGTCGAGAAATTCTTGTTGTTTGCAACGAAAAAATCTAAGGCACGTTTATTCAGCGGGTTGAACTCGAAGTAGTTACTGTCAACAGAGTGAACTATCAATAAAGCGCAGATAAATTACATTAACCAAATGCAGTGTGTATTAAAGTGTGACTAAGCGTAAGAGGTTCGAAACAGTGGGAGTAAGTCTGGAATATAGTGCAAAAAAAGTCTCTTAATTGCAACGAAGTGACAAGGTGTGAAGTGTTGAAATACACGAATAAATTCCCCAACGTTAATTTTTATGGGTCATTCTCTCTACAAAGTATCAGACCTTTAGTTATAGATTTAGAGCCTGTTATGTTTTCATGACCTGTTAACATATCACATGAAAAGATTGCCAATCAGAACACCGACCTATACGACCATGGGACCTTACCATACCAATGATGCGTTAGCCAATACAAGCAGCCTAGAGTCAACTCTCAGTCCTTATCTGTTCTTCTTGACTTGCCCTGCCCGTATGAGTCCAGAATACAACCTCAGCTTTCACTGTATAAATAATTTATTGCAGACATACTTCGTTTATACTTTGGCAGACCAAAACACATCACAATAAAACGAACACAAACAATTATACGAGATCAAGTCAAAAGTGGCTGTGTGTGAGAGACTGTAGCTTATAGGTAAGGAATAACTTAAGAAGAGTAAATCGTGTAATAGTAGCCAACACGCTGAATGATAGCTTGTAATAAGAGAAATATATATATATATATATATATATATATATAGCAACTTGATAGTTATACTGTAAGAATGTATGTATAATAACAGTTCATAATTAGTTCCCGGAAGTTACTCACAATTTACTCTCGTTCGGACACAACAGAACCTGAATTTGACTAGTTATTTGTACTGAACGAGTTAATCAGCTGAATTTGAAGGCTGATCGATACTCAATCCATCAGTCACAATGTAGAATCTGGTATGTACTGTTGTGTTTGAAGCGATTACGAGTTCTCCAATCCGAGAACGAACAAAGACTCTGTGACCAAAGACCAATAAGCTAGCTATTCTGACGCGTCCCGGTCTCGCTAACTAGAGTGAGAAGTCAAAGTTCGAAGTTGGGGAGGTATATTCTGCAAGCAGCCAGAAGCACAAGCAATCACAACAGGCACAAATAAAACGTATATATGAAGCATAAAATTGTCCTTGGGAAGCGTTACAAAATAGGAGACTAAAAGATACAACGAACCAATAGCGTTTAAGATTCTCTCAAGTGGAGAATGCGACATAAAGGTGAAAACTAGCGTTTTTAACTCGAAGATAAGAAACTCACGTTTTTAAAGTAGAAATACAAAAATAAGACATTTACCAGATGAGTTCTGGGGATCTTTATATCCCCATCACGTATGTACACCCGTTCAAGTTTCTGTACCTTATTAACACAGTGAGGTGAATTCGTCACACCAAATCCCGGAATTGTAGAGGCAGTAGCAGTCTGATCGATGACTGAGAAGATTAGATATAGAAGATACAACTCGAGAAAATAGATTAGTCAAATAAAAACAGTTAAAAGTTGTGAGGAATTTAGCACCTCAGACTTATGAGAAAGATATAAATGGATGTGTGGTGGTATTCGTTCTAACTACACGATACTGGAAGACCAACATAAGATAACTGAGAAAATTCACATTCCACATTTACCAAGGATAGAAGGTCAGTAATAACGAACGCGGAGGTAATAGATCGAAATGGAATGGGTCAGTCATATTGGCGTGGCTACTCTGTGTAACCTCTTGTGCTTTGTACCGAATATATATGGCTTTGAAGATACGACCGGTATTGTAGTTTTGCAACTATAAACCGGTAACACCTTCTATGTTCGAATCTTCCCCAATCGGTTAGAATCAGAAGTCAGATGCGAAGAGATTGGAAATATATGTTTGATGCGTTATCAATATATCGAGAAGCGTTTGCTCTAATCTGGCTAGATGCATATGCTACTGCAAAAGATTTTGTACAAGATAATTCAAAGTCTCCAACCATTGGTTACAACAATCTCGACAACTCCAACACGGTCTACACCTAGTAAAACGGCTCAGCCCAATTTTCAACGACTTCGTGAAGGGATTCTATGTTTCGGTTTAGCTGCCCCTGGATTTCTTTCAACATACTTCTTCACCAAAACAAGTCGCCCTTAGGGGTAGGCGATGGGTGAGCATACTTAACATGTGTCTCAATCACCTCCGGTGATGAAGATCTACTACTCCATCAATCCAGTACCTTATTCCTAACCCAGACACTGCCTGCTCAGTTGTATCAATATGTGAGGGGTAGTTCAAAAACACCTGTCGACGAGTACTATTAGAAAGTTATTTATTCTCAGGGAACAATATGTTACATAGGCATGCCAGTTTACGATCAAGATTAAATTGTCAAAGATGATACAGGCTTCACTGTTATTGGTTACTCAGTTAGGTTGATAGCTCGTAAGTTACATTTGTTATAGAATAAGGGGGAATTACACTTCTCACATATGAATGTAACTAATATTGGTAAGACTTGTACTGTCAATATGAAAGTTGTCGCTTCATGGAGGTTGCGTTGAGACGTGCAACTGATGGTCGGGAGTAGATACACTTAAATTTAAAAGCTTCTATAAACCATGACTTTATATCTTTCTGTGTAAGATCTAAACCTAGTTTCCAACTAGGCTTGATTTTTTTTATAGAAGGGGTTTTGTGGGGTTTGTTGAATAACTGACAAGTAAAATTAGAGACGCGCACCCCCAGTCGAAATCAGAGCAAGATGTTTTAGGGGTAATAACGGTTCTAAATTTCATCATATATGCAAATGTAAAAATTTA